TTATGGATCTTTCAGTGTTTTGTGTTATTGTTCACCTTCAGCAGTACATGTGTTTGATCGTCATACGTAATGGCAATGTTCCCTCCAAAGGGGATTTTTGTGGATAGTGTGCGTGTGTGGGGGTGGGGATAGTCTCTTCATGCGGCTTGGTGTCGTTCCGCCTTGATGGGCGAACGTGTCAGTGGGCGGAAGTGCACCTTTTGTGGGGACGCTTGGACCATGCACTCCGAACATTTTCACGATGTAGCTGAGCGCAGGCACCTTCTCTAGCTTTTCTTACCGATATCGAGTACATTTGAGGTCCCAGGACCAACAGCCAGTGTAGTACTTCTCCGAGTAGCGCTCCACGACTTGCTTGCACGACTGAACTAAGCGGCTGGACACCCGGTACACATCCACATGAAAAGAGAAAACAAAATCGAAACACGTGAAATATTCAAGGGGCATAGACGGCATTTTCATAATAATATTGCGTACAATGTCATGTAGATAATCGCATCCGTTCACAAGTAGTACAACAGTTGGGTGCATACTTGTGCAGACGAACCATCCAACCCGAAACCGAGAAGGACGGCCGCGATGCACAATATCAGCAAGGTTGATTGGTTTAGATTACGTTCTGATGACATTGCCACAGGTCAATCTAGTCTCCTTCCCACGTGAGTCGGATCGTCTACACGAAACTGAGGCTCTTTCGAACTGGAAACCCTTTTCGTGGTTCGTTTCAACGGAGCAACGGAAACAACGTGCAGCGGGGTGAAGCAGACCACTGACTGGAGGAAAGTAGAGTAAGAATCTTTGAATGGGAGCAAAAAAATGGTCGGGCCCGAATGGTTGCAGTGCGAACCAGTTCGCTAGTAGTAGTAGATCGACATACCATGCATGCATTGCTTGCCATTGTACACGCGCATTGCGGTGTGTGGCAGACGACAGCTGAGAGGCGGCCCCGGGCTTCACTTTGGATAGCTAGCCTTGCACTATGCACCATGCAGAGATTCGGACGGTCTCCCAACACGAGTGAAGTCTCTCGAAGTCTCGCCACTACGGGTGCAGCCTACAAGTACAAGTACAAGTGCAGGGCCACTTGTCAACAACAGCTGCTAGCGCTAGCGCACGAATGTCTTCGATGTCAATGGCATCTCAGTCTCTTCATAATGGACTGGTGCTGAGTGGTGGCTGTCATCAGCTGTTGTTGGATCGTGATGATGTCGAAACGAAATCACCAGGGCCAGGCTCGCTGTCATGCTACTTGACTATTGTACTGGCACTAGTCTGTAGCATTTCGGATGAGTCATGACGGCAACGGGAAGGACTGCTACTATTAGTCTCTACATAAATGAACGGGTTCAAACAAAGCTCCCATCTGAAGCGATATGTTTCCCAGCAGAGTTCCAGTAGTCCCACATGAAAATTCTGGAAGCGCAAAGGTTCCCCATAGGTATCGGTACACGAGATAAATCACCCTGGTCTGGGTCCACGAAGATAATGATCACAAACATACGCAGTGCGTCAGAACACGGCTACCAAGAACTCTCCCCGTACACGTATAATGATTATTAAGTTTATGCTTTGACAAGACGTCTCCCTACACATCCGCATAACGGTCATCACACAACTCGACTCGTCACATTCTGCGTCCAATTCACCACACGCAGGGTGGCAAAATCCGATCGGAATGTCCTACAGGAACTCCATTATGGTCAATCACACGAACCAGCAACGCACTGTAGCAACACCTTACACAGTGCAGCAGTGAAAGGTTAGCTAGCTGATCGTTGCAGCTCAGCTGAGCGTCAGGTTCAGTCACAGACTTGTGACAGTGCAATCATTAGGCAACATACATTGTACATGTACTCGTAGGGATGCTTTTAACCATGCCAGGCAGTATCCGTTATGCAAGGAAGAAGGAGCAGAGCCGGTGCTGAGGTGTGAGCAGTTCTGGTGTGTGGCGCTATGCTTCTGTGATTCTGTATTAGGATGAAAGATCGTGCCCGAGCCTACACCAATATCACCATAATTTACCTAAATTGTATACAGTGCTGGCCAAAGTTAAGAAATCTAACCTTGTGAATAAAGCAGCGTCGCGTTCGAGTGCACAGACTAGCATTGTGTGGTGCTAGTGGCCTAGTGCGAGGGCCACCTAGCGCCCGGCGCTATTTTATTCACGTTGGATTTCTTTTACCAGCACTAGGCAGCACTGTAGATAATACATAATTATCAGCAAACGATGTGCCCTTGCGCCAGTGAAAAGTTCCATATCCTACATGTAGCTCCTAGTAACCCCTGGAGAATACTGCCGGCAACAATTGGAAGTATTTGGTACGTTTCAGCGCGGAAACAAGCTGTGCTGACCTCAAATGGCGCTCAAATAAGCAAGGCCAAAAAAGCCAGTGATAAGGTTACCAAGGCGAACCATTCTTAGCGCTGCATTGGCGAAGGATTTGTTTTAGAGAGGCTGTCAAAATAGAAGTCGGAACATCTCGGCGCCCCAAACCGTGTGTACTTTTAAAACAGCGGATGCTAGTGCGAATGTACTGTGATGCCGAGTGTGGGTGAGTACAGGGACATTTTTGCCGTCGACTGGTCGAAACCCGCTTCGCTGGGTGGACAATTCTCGACAGGCACGATTCGGCGAATGACAGTTTAATTAAAAGAGAGTGTTCTTTCGCCTACTGAGCATTTCGCCGAATTCCTGTCTATAAAGTATGACACCTTCATTCGCTTCCTTGTTATTGAGCATCTCTTCTCGTTTGGTCACTGCGAAATAAAATAAAATCAAACAACAGGCAGCTGTCGCCAACATAATGACATTTGCGTTCTTTCCGTGATCCGAATTCACTCGTGTCTACGAGGCAGCTGGCGCCAACATAATGACATTAATTTTGCGTTCTTTCCGTGATCCGAATTCACTCGTGTCTACGAGGCAGCTGGTGGCAACATAATGACATTTGCGTTCTTTCCGTGATCCGAATTCACTCGTGTCTACGAGGCAGCTGGTGGCAACATTAGTCAAAGTGCGGTCGGTCCTTCATCCGAGTTCGCTCCACGGCGTTGAAGATGGTGGTCAATACCCCTGAGAGGCTGAGACTGTATGTCAGGCTCTGCTCCACATGCACTTCAGAGCTGCGGAGGATGGTCAGCTCAACCCGGCTTCCGTTGCCACTCTCCCAGTGACCTCTGAAATGACATGATGGGAGTAATAATTATTCGGATATACTGTCCCTCCAGGAAATCGCGATTTCACGGATGCAACAAATTTCGCGGACTTAGCCCAAACCGCTTCCGTTGCCACTCTCCCAGTGACCTCCGAAATGACATGGTGGGAGGAATATTAGGATATGCTGTCCCTCCAGGAATCGCGATTTCACGGATGCAACAAACTTCGCGGACTCGGCTCCGGCGGATTATGCTCGCGAAATCATGGAATTATTCTTTCATGGATTCTCGCATTATGCTCGCAAAATCCTCGTATTATGCTTTGGCACGCGGGGATACATATCCACTTTTTTGTACTTGTGGAGCCTCAAAGTTCGGAAAATTGTGCCTTTTTCGTACTTGCAAGAGGCCATAAGTACAACAAAATGCATGAGTATCCCCATACCAAGGTGTCCATGCATGCTAGAGATCAACATGGAAAAGAGAAAACATTACTTCTTCTATTCAATAGTTGACTTCTTTTGTAAAAATATTTTTTCATTGCCAAATTAGTTTGAGATACATGTACCTTTGAAAATTATCATCACGGTTCAATTGTCTTCGCAATCGTCATACTCGTCCAACCGATGTCAACTTCACCCTGCGGCTCATCTCTACCGCAGCTCCACCTCTACTTCCATCATGACCGAACATCAACTTTACCTCAATTTGTTTAATTATTAGAACAATATCCATAGCCTGCGCAGTCATGGCTGCTAAAATCCAGAGGTCATGACTTCGTGACATGCGTAATGTACATGTTTTTGCGGACTACCCGTCACTATCTCGTTCGCCCCGGGATACCTGACCAAGGCTGATTCACTCGCATCTTCTGCTACATGTACTGTACCAGTGTGAGAAGGAACTAAAGTTACTTTGAAGACGAGTTCGAGCATACAATAATGTATTGCCATGATTTCTACCCTGCTTTTCATTGAAAACACGATCTGCATGACCTCGGAACCCTTTACCATGCAGACCACCAGCACTAATCATGTGCATTGTACCCAATTGTGCAGCCTACATAGAACTGTAGTACACTCCGATGTAGTTATGCTCCTACCTCCGAAAGGATGCCCAATTATGCTCCAAATTTTCAACCACCAAATTATGCCAATAATTATGGCGGCATAATAGGACTCAATCAGTCAAGCTTGGTCCAGTCCTCTCAGATTCTATCCCTATTTCCTCTGGTGTACCGCAAGGGTCCACTCTAGGACCGTTACTTTTCTTGGCCTTCGTCAATGACCTCCCTGTCCTCAACCCTGGCGTGTCTCTGTTTGCAGACGACACTTGTATGCTGCGCAGCAGTCCCTCTGTTTCCCGTCTTGTATTAGACCTCCAAGCGGGTATCACGGATATCACCTCGTGGATGGCATTGTGGAAGCTAAAACCGAACGTCGGGAAGACCAAGGTAATGATCATTCCCCCTCTGTCTACTACTCTCTACTACCCTCTCCCTCCCCTAGTATTCCATTTCTCCACCACTCCCATAGAATATGTAGATCATCACAGGCATCTTGGTGTCATTTTTGACACTAATCTCTCCTGGACTCACCATGTTGCCCACATATGTAAGAAGACTAGTCAAGCCATAGGTATAATATACTCACACCGCGCCCATCTTCCTGACAGCGATCGTGCTCCTTTATATAATGCATATATCTTGCCGCATTTTGACTACTGCTGTACTGCCTGGACAAATCTATCTATTGCCCAACAGCAGAAACTGGAAACTCACAATCGTTCCCTCCTTAAGATTCTTTATCATATGCCCAAGTCCCTTTCTAGTGTCGCTCTCTATATGTTATCCTCGACCAGACCTCTCCTAGAAAGACGAAGAATCATGATGTGCTGTCTTATCCATCGTATTCGACTTTCCAAAATACCCCTGCATCTTAAACCATTTGACTGGTTCCGACGGGATAACTCCACTAGGAACCAACTCTCCCTTCCTCTAGCCCGCTCTTCTGCATTGCTACACTCCCCCCTTTTCAATGGCTATTTGCATTGGCTTAAGCTGCACCAGGAGACAAAGGGCCTTTCTACTTTAACAGCATTCAGGAACGCCTTGCTTTACCAGTAGACCACAATTTTAGTCCATATTTGCTTCTTTCTTCTTTTCCTTTTCTTTTTGACTTCTTACTCTTCTCCATGTTAGCCATGGTTGGCTATAAAAACCCTGCAATCTCCACGCAAAGTGGTCATTTGCTATCCCAGCCATGTATTGCTTGGAATAAAAAAATAATAAAATCAATAATCCGCCGGTGCCTATC